CCTGCTGAGTGTTGATGTGCTGTTCCCTTGCTCCCAGGCGGGAATATGACTTTGAAGATGACTGTGACAGCCTCACATGGGAGGAAACAGAAGAAACGCTGCTCCTCTGGGAGGACTTCTCCGGATATGCCATTGCAGCTGCAGAGGTGCAGGGGGAGGTAACGGTGGTGTCAGGTCCTTTCGGGAATCCAGCCCTGGTTTGGGCTCCTCAGTCCTGCCTGAGCCTGGGAAGATGCTCCCTCAAAGACCAGACTTCAGCCCCTCCATCCCTTGCAGGCCTGTACAGATGCTTCCCTCCAAAGACTGCTATGCAAACATGCTACTGCATCCTTGCAAAGGTCTCCTTGTTTAGACAGACCAAGGTCCTCTAGCCTGAAACGTATGATGAGGGCAGAGCCTGCACGCGTGGGAAGAGGTGCCTTTTCCAGCTGCAGCCCTCCCAGAAGAGAAGACCTCCTTTAGCTGGGCTGGGCTCTGGTGGTCCCTTGCTCAGACTCTCCAGCCCACCTGCCTGCTGTGCAGCAACACTGCCCAGAGGCCTCAATGTCTGGCTCAAGGCCCTGCTGCCCCGTGTCTTCAGCCCTCAGCAGTGCCCTGGGGATGTGTCATGCTTGGGGACAGTCTGCACTCTCCAAAGCTTCTGTGTGGCGAGTCCTGGGTCTCTACCCTATGTTGGAAGGACTGACTAGTACCTCATTTAGTGCTCAGACTACACCCCTTATGTTTCTTCCTCTTCCCAGTGCTGCCAGTTCTTTGATTTCTCTCTCTTGCCCTCGGTTCCCCATGTCGGACACCTCCCTGCCTCTAAACATGCTGTCTGCTCTCCCCAACAGCAGGACGACAGCCTGGAGAAGGTGATCAAGGACACAGAGTCACTGTTCAAGAGCCGTGAGAAGGAGTACCAAGAAACCATCGACCAAATAGAGGTAGGAGGAAGAAGAAGTGGGGAGGCCATGGCACAGAAGGAGGTGAAATAGGGGGGTCAGTCCCCGGGGGAGGGAGAAACCTTGCTGGAGCAGGTAGTTGGTAATGGGGGGTGACAGCCTTGGGTCTTGCCGTGCCCCCTGCCTTGCACTGCACCGTGTCCTGGGCTCATCTCTGCACTGTTTCCCTTGTGCAGCTGGAGCTGGCCACGGCCAAGAATGATATGAACCGGCACCTGCACGAGTACATGGAAATGTGCAGCATGAAGCGAGGCTTGGACGTGCAGATGGAGACTTGCCGGCGGCTCATCACCCAGTCTGGGGACAGGTGAGCTTGGGCAGGAGGGCTGCATAACCATGCTCTAGGCAAGGACTGCAGCCAGGGTGATGGTGAGTGGAAGCTGAAGCACAGGGTAGTACGCCTGCCCTGCCCTGGTGTGGCATGGAGAGAGGGCAGTTCCTAGAGGCTGTTTAACTCCTGCTGACCAGCCTCCATACAGGTCGTGGTGCCACCTCTGCAGAAGGTGGGCTGTGCACAGGAGTCAGTTTTGACAGGTAAAGCCAGACACTACTGATGGAGAGAGGAGCTGCTGTTCTGCAGGGACATCCTATAGGTCCTATAGGAGTGTGGAGCCAGGGTGGTGCCAGGCTGGGGACCTCTGTGGTGGGCTTTTGCTCACCCCTAGCCTCCCATGCCTTGGCAGGGTCCTGCTCTGGGCAGGCTCCTCTGGCATCTCCCCCAGCACTGCTTCATGCTCTGGACCTCTCAGCTGGTCTCCTCTGGGACACCCTCCCCAGCACCCAAGGGTTTCTGCGGACCCATGCATGCCCCAGAGGAGCAAGAGAGGCACTTCAGCTTCTCTCCTTCTTGCTCTGGTGCCCCCTGCCCACACCAAACTGGCTCCTTTCCCTCCTCCTCGATGGTGCTGTGACCACTGCCCTTTACTCTTCTCCGCAGAAAGTCTCCTGCCTTCACCCCGGCCTCCAACAGCGAGTCGGCCCCAAACGAGGAGAGTGAGGAGTCCGACCGTGACCACCCCAGCGATGCTTCCATCAGATAATGAGGGGAGCCCCCACTCCCTCGGACCCCCTTCCTGGCACGGGGGTGCCTGAGCCACGCCTGGGAGAGACTGTCAGGGACGTGGAGCTGCTGGTAAACGTCTGTCACCAAGGCTCACTCCCGTTTTGGGGTGCTTGGCAGATCCTGCACCCCCCCGCACCAGATATCTTGCAAAGGGGAATAGCTAAATAGACCTGCGGGCCCTCACCCGGGCC